GGGTACTTGATTTCCGGTTACGCATTGCTCGGATAGCTTTTTGCGTCTGATCGATTTCCGAAAGTGATGCACATGGAGCACGCCACAACAGTGAGTAAACAGTTGCTGAAAAGATTGTTTTCGCCAATATTCAAGGATGTCAGCTTGGGGAAATATTAGCCCTAAGAGTATATATACCTACTGCAGGTCAAATATCTGTGTTTTATGCGGATTTTCGTTTGTTGAGAGATCAGTGTCAGTGACCGGGAATTTTGTAAGTCCTAAAACAGTAGCCGCTTGTCGATTGGTTAAATCCGGTTCGCCATCTCTCATTTGATTGACAGTCATAGGTCGCTCAAAGGTTAGCTGACAGGACCTTCTACTAGGTTTTGTTAGTCTCAGTATAGCAGTGTAACGAATAATACTGAGCCTAAGTTTACTTAGGGCTGCACGTTAGGGTCAAGCCATGTATCAAACCCTTCCACACAGTTTGAGGGATCATCAAGATCATGATTTTTGCATATAGAAGATGAACTGGCAGTTCTGAATGAAAACCAAGAAGATATTTTCTTTAGGCTAGGTTTTGGCATGTTTGCTCACAGTTCAACTGATATGACCTCCAATACAGAGTTTGTTGATGGAGAGAGGTACTAAACTGGAGTAAAGGTGAATCTTGTCCTTTACCTTGTTTACATTGATGATCACTCTCTTGTCCCCAGGCAGCTGTTGATTTGGCCCTGCTGCAGCTGTTGTTGGCTGTCAGCTGTCACAAGAGCCAGGTGTTACTGTACCGCCTGGATGTCAACCTCCTAGGTCGATCCCCCAGCCCGGCAGACAGGGTAGGTACTGCACAGACACCACAAAGGTATAGGTACCTTCGTACAGAATAGACCTCATCTTTCTTGGATGGTCACCTGGTCCTTCGAATAAAAGCTGGACAAACACAGCAAGCATGTAGCACTTGGGACCTTTGGCCATTCATGGGGACCTAATCTACCTGGTTATAACTCAGTCATTTTATCTGTGAAGATAATTATTGTCAGTGACAGCTGATTGCCATTCCATGTAAGACCAGTAGACAATAAGTGATAGGATTGTATGATGTATGTTTGTGTCTTTCCAGAACCAGTACAGCGGCATGGACCACATCAAGCTGCCATCACTCACGCCACTCATCCTGCCCAGAAACCAGGTGAGGCCATGCTGCCTTGTTACATATAGGTGGATCTGTAGGCAGAGGTTCCAGTGTTATAAGATGTTACATTTGACTGATTAAATGTCAAATACTTGGCATGGAATATGACCGAATGATATATTTTGTATTGTGTTTTAACCATGGAGACTATTTATGAATATATTCTTAAATTCTGAATGCTGAAAGTTGTGAATAATTCCATTGATACTGCTTCTACTGTGCGGTGGACTTGGTGATATTTGACCGATATGTTGACCAATATTTTCAGCTGGCGTATGAGCACGCCGTGGCACAGCACCGCGGAGCCGGAGGAAGAGATGGTGCAAAAGATGAAGCTGGCTCGCAGGTACAGCAACACCGGGGAGGAGAGAGAGAGACGCCACTTCACTGACTTGTCTTCTGTAGGGGGCGATAATGGTTGCATGTGTGGGCAGAATAACCATAGTTACACTTAACTGAGAAGTGTGCTAAACTGTGCAAACATTAAATCATAAAATTAATTTGATCATTACAAATAGTAGTGGTATCGCGGTTGTGAGGATAGAACAGTTCCACCATGTGGCCCAATTAGGGTCTGGCAGTAACATTGTATTACTGCAAAAAATAGGTGTCATGAACCAGATAGAGTGGACCTTTGCACTAGTTTTGCCAGGCCCAGATTAGATGATTTTCAGCCTGGAATATTTCTGACTGTATAATTTAATATTCACCCACTCCCTCATAATGATCATAGTTTTAGTTTAAACTGATGATACCCGGTGAAGATCCGGGTTAGAATATTGATCTTCAGTAACCCATGCTTGTCGTAAGAGGCTACTTAACGGATCGGGTGGTCAGGCTCGCTGGCTTGGTTGACACATGTCATCGGGTTCCCAATTTCCCAGATCGGTGGTCATGTTGTTGATCACTGGATTGCCTGGTCCAGACTCGATTATTTACAGACCGCCATATAGCTGGAATATTGCGGTGTAAAACTAAACTCACTCACTCACTTAAACTGATAATGAGACCATGAATGATGGGGATCATGTTAAAGGGAGATAACTGATGATAAGTGCTTCCTGTTTCAGCAAGTCTAACCTGGATGAAGACTTCCAGGACTACCTGGAGAGGGCCAGAACCTGGCACCAGATGACGGTCACAGCTCAGGTGGGTTCAGCTGGAAAACATTTACACAGAAACTGTTAATGCAGGTATAAGCTCATCTAGTGCCTCCAAATGATGTCATTTATGGCTTGGACAATATAATGATTTAATCTGACCAGATTTCATTTAATGGGTATAAATATCCAGAAAACAGTTCAGTATTGGTTACTTCATTTGGACAGGTAAACATCAAGCTTTTTCCATTTGGAGCGTGGGTAGCCCAGTAGTTAAAGTGTTGGCTTATCATACCATGATATTGCTGGAGTATTAATAAAGGGGGCGTGGGTAGCCTAGTGGTTAAAGCGTTGGCTTCGCCATTAAGACCCGGTTCGATTCCCCACATGGGTACAATGTGTTAAGCCCATTTCTGGTGTCCCCCTACCGTGATATTGCTGGAATATTGCTAAAAGCGGCGTAAAACTAAACTCAGTCAGTCAGTATTAATAAAAGCGCGAAAACCATACTCACTCACTGAATGTGTGCAGGTCCACCGTGGAATGACTTGGACCAATCCTTGACAGTCATTTATATATTAAAACAATGAAAATTGTAAACATATAACTGTTAAAATGTAATTATAAACCATGTTGGTTAGTATATGGAAGTCATGTAATGCATTTTTCATACCGATACATTATTGTCTAAAATAATTATGTCAGCATTAAGGGGTCAAACCTCACATTATGATGGACACAGGGACTCAGTCCTTGAAGGTGCTGCTTGTAGAGTTGTGTCTCTTTGCTTAACTGCCAGTTGTCACCCGGAATCAGATCCCTTTCACTCTGGTTAATAGGTTGTCAGCCCATCCATACCAATGGATGTTGAAGAAAATTGCAGCATTGACCTGAAGCTGGATTTCGCGAATATTATAGCAAGATCAGGAAACTGTAGTAGTATACAGGATAGGGTACGGGATCAGGGGTAATCTAAAGCTTCATTTAATAGATGAAGCCTTAGTCGGACCCTTCCTATTACCATCTACTACAGTAATCTAAAGCTTCATTTAATAGATGAAGCCTTAGTCGGACCCTTCCCATTACCATCTACTTTTTCATAAAATAAGACTTTAGTCGGGACGCTTACTATAGCGGACGTTGGTATCTTAACTCTATGTCGTGGTTGACGGGAGGTAGCATTGTGTCATACGGTATGATTAATAATTCTTCTCTTACAAATCCTCTGCCGGGCCATCCCTCAAGAAATACAAGGTAGGTTCGTCTGCTTTCATATCAACTTTATCTATGTTGTAAGTTTTGACTGACCATATCGGATCTGTGGCTCGCCACGGCTATCCCCTTCGTGTTCCCCGGCTGGTATAGGTACCCTCACGAAATTCTATCTGGTATCTGTTTCTCCTTCCCACGCAGCGAGCGGCCGGCTCTGCTGCTATCGATTTTAATTTTATAGCGCCTGCCGGCTTTTACCGTGAGACGAGTGACTTCATGGTTGATTACCGACACCACCTTTAGGTAACCTCATTACCCATTCAGTCGATCGCTTCCCTGGGGCAGCCATCTCCTCGCGATACTGATACCCAATAAACGCTCAGCCAAAGTCCTATTGAATCTCCTCAACTATGGCTTGGCTGCGATGGGCTCCAGCCGCATTCACGCCTGACCTTTTGTATCGTGGTTTGGCTAGCAGTTGTGACACGGCACCCATGAACTCCCGCCCAGTCAACTTGAGCTCTGATGGCCATGTCAACGGACTGCGCTTGTATATGCGTTCCATGGCTTGAGCTACCTGGGCAGAATCTTTCGCGGGTCAATGGTTCAGCTTCCTTATACCGGCTGGCTACATCCACGATAGTCAGAGCATATTTGTAGGTTTTCACGTCTCACCCTGTCGTGAGGTAGGAACAGCAGGTCTGCTTTGGTGAACGCTATTAGGTACATTAATACCAAACTTCCTTCTAGGCACATAGCGTGGTGGTGGCAAATAGATCTGCCACAGGGCTTGTTTTTCAAGCCACGCTTTGGCTTCCTCCGGGGTACTCGCATTTTAGCCAGCTTATCTACAGCTTAGCTCCTTTCCAGTACCCACGCTGGCTGTAGTAAATAGCCTCAAACTTTCTCTGGTTCCGTGACATGTCACCATTTATTTATATCTATGTTCTTGGTTCAATTTTCTCATGCCCGTATCGCTGCATTTGTTTATCCCATCAATGGCTATCCAACGCTTAGTGTCCATAGGTGATAATGATGTTTTTATTTATAGTCAGCCCGTATATCCTATGCCCATCACTTCTAAGTGTGTTCATTTTATGTTTAAAGGTACGGGTCTTGAACAGGGCTTCCTTGAATCTGGTGTGTTTGATGTGTTGTTTCACCACGCATGCTTCTTAACACCCTTAGCTTCCGGATCTCACCATTATCAGCCTTCAGTATAGAGTACATCTTAGGCCTCAACCCTATGTACTCAGCTATGGGCGATGCCAGCACACTCGTCCTTCATCTTACCTAGGACCTTTTTATTCACCGTGCTGTGTATGGCATGGTCCTTGGGGTAGTCGCTGGTGTCGCATAAATCGAGGTGTTTTTCATGTCCTCGCATTAATCGCCCGGGTTCAATCTCCATCAGCAGGGAATCCGCGGTCAGTGTACAGCACTTCACACCTGTCGCCGCATTCGTTTCTTAAGCTCGTTGTAATAAAAAAGTCATACATCAGGTGTTTGGATAAATCAAGGATGCTCATCCCAACGTAAACAGGTCGGTTTAATATTATGTGACTTTTCTTCATGTGTATGGCAAGCTGCAGGTCGCTATCGAATATCTTACTACGGTTGAATGCAGGGTTAGCGATCAGCTTCCTGAGTTTTTCCTCCTCATTCGACCGAACCAGCTTCACGATCACGCCGCTTTCCTCAGGTTCTCCATCGCCTTACCGTAATACCGAAGTTGTTCATGAGCTTATACAAGTTTTTCTCAAAGTCACTGGTGGCCAGCTTCGCGGGTCCGTGGTTCATTCTGATGTAAGGCTCCATCCAGGGGCTCTTGATCGAACACGAGCACTCTGTGTATTTTGGTCAGTTTCATACCCAACGACAGGTACAGCTGCAGGTTGCGATAGTGAACTATGCATTTGGTCTTATTCATTAAGTTAGGCCACGAAGTTTTCAACGCCCGCCACCCGCCTATCTAACAAGTTATGTTGGTATTCAGACATCCAGTTCGGGTTTCAACCCTCATATCGCTCGGAAGCTAGGGGGTAACTGTTGTGTGACGGTGTAACGCCTTGGGATACTCCAAGTCTCACTTCGAGGGATATAACCTTTATTCAATCCGCTGATGCTCATAACATCGACCTCATGTGACGCCCATTTGAATCCCCTGTGGGTAGATACTGACTCATAGCCCATCCGCATAGGTTATTTATGCGTCGAGATAGAGAATGTGATTGGTTGGCTTGCTAGGGTCGGGTGAACCATTCACGCATTGATTATTTGCTTTAGCTGCATCGCTTGGTTACCATGGAGATCCCACCTCGCAAGCCTTTCTCGATGAACAGGTGCATGTCATAATCAGTAAGCAATTCCAACTTAACTCCGGGTCTTTTAAGCAAGGCATCCCACGACAAACCTGGGCTGGTGTAATACCATGCTGGATCTAGTTTATACTGCTTGATACATGTCCTCCTAAATGTCTCAAACACGCCGGCTAATAGTAGTACATCCATCTTCAAGTACAGATCGTGGATAGTCACCCAGGTTTTACAACCAAGTTTATTCCATACATTAATAGCGCATTTAAGTAATCGCCTTCGGATATTTCCGTAGTCTGTCAGATTGCTGTAAAATTCTCGATGATGGGAGGTAGTCTGGTCTCGGGGCTAACTTAGTCCAACTATCCATGTACTCATAGGGATACACACTCCTTCCTCATAAGCAGAGATCTAGTCTCCGGCTGCCTGTGTATCGATCGGTGATAGGGAAGGTATCGTTGGCTTTGATCAGGGCTGGCTAATGACGACAATAGAAATTGACACGAAGTCAATGAACCTAAGTCCGTCTAAGCTGAAAGAGAGAGATATTTCTCCATGTTGTTGGGAATGCATCGCTATATTACCATCGATTTTCAGCGATGGCCTGCATGATTAAGTGAGAGTCGTCGTACCCTCTCAAGTTGTGAGACAACGGAATGTTTATTGTCTTAGGGTTGATTCTAAGCTTGAGGTTACACTCACGCTATGAGCGGTAGCTATATACTTAATACGGTTATGTGACAGTGATCTCAAATCAATCACCGTTCAGTGGTGAGTCACACACGCGACAGTTAATGCTATGGGAGTGAGCTAACCTTGTCGGCTCGGTCATCGCAGCATAGGAGCCGCATTCTATGCAACTTTTCCTAATAATTTCTTCTTCCTTCCTTCAAACTTTAGAAACCTTTCAACAGCTGTCTAGACCCTTCTGTATACTACGGGATTTCTGCTTCACCGGGCTTCACAACGTGACTGACTATGTATCCAAATCCACATGCTTCATGCTCTTGTGTTTTGTATGTGAAGGCTTCACCTGTGGGAGTATCCCCAACAACCTTAATTGGTTTTGACCAAGGCTTCAAAGTCGTGATATGATATAAGGAACAGACATTTGCGAACGTGGTTGTAGAATTTTAGGATATTGTCCTTCCTCGGGCATATCGATGCGTGATATTGCTCTGTCCTACACCTTGACAATACTCCTGGTGGATTCTAATAAATCAGCTCGGGCTGAAACCGCGCAGACATCGTGATACAAAAGTGTTTTTCCCACTTGTATTTCGGAATGATCATTACAACAACCGACTGGAAATGTTTGATCCACGGTAGTGATACTTTTCACCTGGCTGGATCATAAATATATTGATAACACGCTTCCCCTACCAACGAGCTGAGCCTGTGTATTATTGTTGTGTCGCCTTAAGTGTCCAAAGACATTTATAGCTAGATTATTCTGTTTTTCTACACTTTAGTGATCTGGGATATGGGGTTGGTTCATCTATACCATGCCATCCAGTTGAGT